ATAACGTATTACTGCTCCATAACTGCGTACCTTGCTGCTCATCGTTGACTACGGAGCCTGCTATAGCATTGCTACGAGCTACTGTGTTGCGGTGTTTGGTCTGAAGAAAAGGGGCTATCGCTGCGAAGACGATCCGCCAGGGAAACTGCTGCCGTGTACTGCACGGCTGCCGCTCCTGTTGGCTGTGCACGAGAGGCTGTTGCTACTGTCGACTGTGCACATCTGCTACTTCGTTTTTGGGCACAAACCGTGGCCAGCTGCTGGCGGCGACGTATTGCTGGTACTACTGTTGGTTGCTGCGTATCGCTGCGCACTGCCGCCAACTGTTGCCGACTTTTACAGATTGTTGTGCAGCAGCGGTTGAGCTAAGGAGAGGTGCGGACGAGTGACTGAGCTTGCGGAAGGGGGGGGCTATCACTACGAGTTGGAAGTTCGTCAGGAAAGCTTGTTTCAGCAGTTTGACTTCCGGTTGACCAAGCTGTTACGTTGGCCGCCATTGCGGGGCCCTCAGGAGTCTGAAGATTACAAGGCTCTCTCCTGCGAGTCTGAGAGCACCCCTCTTGTATCTGAGAGACTTAATGATTCTACTTCTGCCCTTCTTATTCTAAGTCTAGTCTATTTGTTCTGAGAGGAAGGCGGCAGGCGGGATTGCAAATCGTAGGTCCGCGTCAAGGCTCTGTGGGGAGTCGACCCACCGATTGCGGGAGCTCTGCCGGAACTCAGGAGGAGTTCTGGAGGCAGGGAACTCAGAGGTAATAATTTGTTTTCCCTTATAAACCCAGTATAACCCCTATCTATACATCTCCCTATGTATTAACTGAGTGTGTTGTATGCAACCCTACTTTGACTTTGGTTTGACTTTCATGACACAAATCAGGCTAAGTAAAGGAATGCATGTATAATGACAGTTTCAGTTTCTTGTTTGTCTGAAAGCAGACTGTCACAAAGGATTACATCAGAGGGAAGGTTGGGTGGAAGACAATTTTGCTTGCGTTTGAACGGGTCTTATAGGGTCAGGCATTGTTTCTAAGATGAATGGCATGACTACTATGTTTTCTTCTGTTTTCTGAAGGGCCAAGCATTGTTTCTAAGACGAATGGTTTGGTCGCTGTGTTTATTTAATTGTGCCAGACATTGTTTCTAAGATGAATGACCTGGCTATTTATTTTGGGGGTTATTGATTGCTTGAACATTGTTTCTAAGATGAATGGTCTAGTCGGTGTTTTTTTTATGTGCTGAGAAAAAAAGGTTGAGCATTGTTTCTAAGACGAATGACTCAACTCTTTTTTATTATTTTATTATGAGGGAGGTTCAGGCCAAAGGATTAGACATTGTTTCTAAGATGAATGGTCTAAGTCTGAGGCCACAAGACTATAACGAGAACAAAGGAATAAGATTTTCTATAGTTTTATATCTGTATATATATAAGAACGAGGCTAGCCAGACATTGTTTATAAGACGAATGGTCTGACTATAGCCTTATCACAATGAAGAGAGTATAACTAAGGGTTATAATTGAAGGTAACCTGGGCAGACTAAGCATTGTTTCTAAGACGAATGACTCAGCCCTAAGCCCACTTTTTGAAGACCAAGGTTCATATATATATATATATATAACTTGACTATTTAAACAGTTCAGGGCGACTAAGCATTGTTTCTAAGACGAATGACTTAGTCATATACCCAATGAAGAGAAAAGTAGTTGTGCAACATGTTCGTATATAACTAAGACAAAGCGTTGACATTGTTTTTAAGACGAATGATCAATTTCAATGCCCTATGTAAGCACGGTATAAGGGGCTAAATCATTAAAAGACTATGAACTATTTGTTTGTCAAAGGTAATCTGGGCTGGTGAGAGTACTTACCTTTGTGATTTGGCCTGCATGTGGCTGAGAGAGATAACTACCTGGTTTGAGTTTTAGTTTGATAGGTAGTTGCTTAGTAGCTCGCCACGTGCTAGAGTGATAGGAGGTAGATTCAATTCCTGCATTTTTCATGATAGTTTTTCTACTTAGATCAATTTCTGCATTTTTCTAAGATCATTTTTCAGACTTGGGCTTGTATAAATTGTGGTAATCCATTTTTCCTACGGGAAGCGCTGCCGAAATTTCTGTAAATCCAATAAGTTAGTCAAACTTTTGACTTTTCTAAGTTTAGTTTGTCTAAAGTTCGTACTTGGTTTAATAAAAATATGGGAAGTCTCTTATCCTAAAGAGAGTGCTGCCCAAAGTTTTACTAGTTCGGGGGGTTAGACAAAATTTGACCTAGGACAGTAAAAAAATATTTTTGTTTTCCTATTTAGACTTATATAAATTCTGAAAAGGAACTTTTCCTATGGGAAGCGCTGTCGAAATTCTTAGTTTAAAGGAGTTAGATTATATTTTGGCAGGTGACAATTTTGACAATCCACTCTGTACAGAGGAGATTGTGCCAAAGGTCTACCTTTTCTTTGACACTTGCTTAGAGATAGACCTATGCTTAATTAAATAGGATGATTTGAGTGAGATCATGATATGAAGATTACTCTCCATGAACTTATAGACTTAGCTTGGGATTGACCTGTTTTGTGTTACAGGTCTTCTTGATCGATTGGTTCAGGATTTGTGCTAGATTCAGCTTGATCCCAAGAGGATCATCTTCTGTTATCACTTATAACAGGTCGGTTGCCGATTCGTCGGTTTACGACTGAATTCACCCTCAATACTCAACCTAAAAGGCTTTAGCCCTGGTGATTTTATTGTTTTGTTAAGGTTTTACCCGAACTTTTATTGAATGACCATTTAACAAAGGTACTGGGTATTTAATTATGGTTGGTTGGACAAGAGGCTGGGACTTGCATGGCCAAAGCGAAGAGTATGAGTATAGAGAGTGGTTGGGGTTGACTCCGTGTAGTGCATGAGTTCTTGTTTGACTCTTTGATGTGATTGCAGGTATGTTTTGTGATACGGATTTTGGATTTGACTGCCTGCGATCGCGCGTATAAATATGGCTGTGAGGAGTCCCACTGTAGCTGTGAAGAGTGATCGTCACATACTTATCCCCTATATATATATATGTGTGTGTATACCTATATTGGAGGTTCGCATGGCCCAAGGGGCCCGCGTATTAAGGGTTAAATAGGGGTTAAGATCTAGAAAAGGCAGAAAAGATCCCTCCACTGGATTATATGTTTTTTAATGATTTCTTAGTCGGACGTTGGTCCTGGGCCAGGATTCAAGGTCCTTGTCCAGGACACCCCAAGCCCTAGACCCTGCGTGGAAGGAATCTTCCCCCGCGCAGAGCCTATTTGCCTTGCCTGTCGAGACACTCAAGCCAAAAGCCTGAGGTCTCACGGCGGCCTCACGACTATTCCTTCAGCCGTGCAATGTCGTGAGGGAGTAGACCCTCACGATACTTCGAGTCTGACACTTGAGTGTCATAAGCGGTACTCGGATCCACGAGGGACCGCTTGATTATGGGTACTACACAGTACGCCATCACTACGACTGCTTGTGCATGCTTGCATTGCGAATCGATATGAGAAAACCCTGCACCCACGCGGTTTTATATTAAGTCCCGCGCGCGACGCCTATCCGGTTCCGCATCGGAAAGTTATGGAACGGTTACCGAGGGACTAGGAGCGCTGTCGCGTTGTCTGTTCAGTGTCGTTCCGCATATGTATCTGTATGTGCATATGCGTGTGTGTTTTTACTTTTATGTTCTTTATAGTAGTGTGTGCGTGGCGAGTGGGATACGTCCTAGTCGACCGACGATGAATCACACTTGGGACTTCAGCCGCCCAAGATGTCGGTTCGCGTACGGTCCGATAGAGGCGTAATACCGTGCGTGCCCCCTACGCTACAGCGAACGAGAAACGCCCTCGACTGGTCCACCTCTGCGATTGCAACTGATCAACTTTCGTACTGTGGGCTGGTAGCTCGGCAGGGATACGCCCACCGAAGGGAGGTGACAACTCCCGTAAGGTGGAGGTAAGTCGTGCCTCGCGTATCCTTTCATAGGGGCTCGCGAGAGGTATGGCTGGCCCACTCAGCCGGAGCGGCTTGCGGAAGCTCCGTGTACATTCGCGACGGGGATTCAAACCAACTCCTGCGTGACGCGGCTGGGAGGGTTCCGTGCGGCCTTGTGCGGTGTCGGACCGATGTACTCGACAGGTGGCGCCGTTGTTGAGGATAACGGAAACCTACCATTGTCCCTGGTGGAACGACATCCGGGTATGAGAGTGAGATGGAAATAGGCATAGGAAGAAAGAATGAGAATGTGTGTTGATTTGTATGTGATTAATTACGAATGAGGAAAATCTAGCGGCTCTTGAGCGGGTTGGTTGCCTGCCTAGCTTAAGGAGAACTATGAGGGATAACCTACTTAGTTCAGGTAGACATCCTGGGGGAACTAGGTAGGACATACGGTACAGATCTCGCTGCGGTAGCACACTGAATAGACGAGTGTTTGATTTCTCTTACAGGAAGTCGAAAAGAGGCGTCTGTCAGGATGCCGAGCCCAGTGACATAGTGGATGGTGCGGGAAGGGTCCTGACACTAGAGGACCTTATCGCGGCCATTGACAGGCATGGGAAGACGTCAAGCAATGTCCCAAAAATTGATACCTTCCACTTCAGTGGAGAGAGGATCTCAGATTGGCTGGATCTGGTGGAACAAGCGATTGTGGGTCTGTCGGATGAGGTGAAGTTCTAGCGAATTTTAAAATACGTACTTCATGGGCATCATCAGGAAGTGGGAAAGGTTGTGGAAGCCGCCCACGGTAGCTGGGCAAGGTTCAGAGAGGGCATGCAGCGCAAGTATCGGTTGGGCGACGGACTGCTGACCACTGCGGACCTCGAGGCCATGAACAAGGATGACTTCACTACGATAGGGGCGTTTGTACAAGAATTCAAGAAAAAGGCGAGGAAAGTTCATGGGATCTCGGAAGAGGCGCAATGTGCCATCTTTCTGGGACTGCTCACGGTGTCAGAAGCCTCCGAATTGACGAGTCATAGAGGGGGCAGTGTGAAGCTTACCTAGGCCACTATTGACAAGGGAGTAGAGGATGGGAGCCTGGACCAGGTAGACATCAGATGCGCTTGCAAAGAAGGAAGAGAAAGGAAAGGGATGTTACCGCATCTGGGACCCCGGGGGTAAAGAGGATCGTTACCGACGTGCTTGCGGAACTAGGCTATGGTCAGGACACCGAGGTACAGAAGAAGGTGGTGACTGTAGCCCAAAGTCGGGGAAAGGAGGCAGGGGATGAAGGTACCAGGCAGAAGGACTACCGTGAGGAGGAGACGGGATCACAAGTTCTTACCAAGGCCCAGCGCAAGCAGCGTAACTTGCTGCTGGGAGGTCAAGGCTCGGGGAAGGGACAGATCCCGCAAGCGATCGCTGCACCACCAGCTGCCGCCACAATGACGCATATGTCAGCAGGGCCCTCGCAGATGGGGCCGCCGTCAGCATATGGTCCTTGGGTGCCTTATTGTCAGTTGGCACCTTGGCCCAGATGTAATCACTGCAGCTCGTGTGGGGGAGGTCAAGCTCCCCCGGAACAGTTGGTCTCATATCCGGGCCCATCGACGAGTGCAGGGCGAGTGCAGGGCCCCCAAGCTTTCCGGCGACCCAAGGCCAGTTCACGGCCCAACCTCCCCCTTCGCAGCAAGCTTCGCAGGCTAGCGTGGCGGGTGGATGAGGTCAAGGGCAAAGAGGACAAGGCAATGGTGGTTGAGGACAAGGCGGCCGAGGGGGTGGCGGCCGAGGACGGAACGGCGGGGGACGCGGCGGAGGATGGAATGGCCAAGGAGGCCAAAGCCAAGGTAGCCAAGGCAGCCAAGAAGGGGGCCAAGGATATGGGAGGGCCCGCTTTGATTGGCGAAATGCCGTCTGCCGGCATTGTGGCGTTGTGGGCCATACCATTCGGTTTTGTCAGCAGTAGCGGGACGATGAGCTCGCTGGTCTAATCTTCACAAATATGGATGGGGATATATATGATAAATTTGTGCAGTATATTGACCCGAAAATTCCAGGTGGGGTTAGACAGGAAGCCCAAAGGCGGGCAGCGGCAGGGCCGGCGCCCCCGACAATGTTCAGGCTATGGCAAGAGAGGGAGGACCCGCCCGTGAGGATTGAAGAGGTCACGGGGGAGAGTGAGGAGGTGACCCTGCGACTAAAGGCTGGGACTATAAAAGAAGAGCCAATAGTCGTTGAGTCAGATGGCGAGGACTCCTAGGGGGTGGGAGAATCAGCCACAACTACCCTGGAGAAAATGGAAGACCTGCTGGGAAAGTTTGGAAGATACCAACAAAGGCTAAAGAAATTGTGTGATGAAGTTCAAGGATTGAAGGCCGGCCTTCCAAATGTCTTCCTCTATGAGTCCGGGCCAGGAGCGGCATAGGGGCAACAAAGCTATCCCGGGGTCGCGACTGTAGGGTCGGGCCCTAGGTCAGGAATGACATTCAGGCCACCTACGCCACATGGACGGGCACCGCAAGCGGCACAAACCAGGAACCAAAGTAAGGCTGGCACTAGTCAGGCGCCAAGTCAGGCGCCGAGTCAGGCGCCTCCTCGAAGGAGACCTGAGCCAGAGCATAGGAAAAAAGTGGTTGAGGTCCCGGAAGAAGAAGAAAAGGAGGATGATGATACGGAGGACGAGAGGCTCCGTCTAGAGGAAGATCGGCGACGGAATTGAGAGCCCAAAGGAGAGGAATCCAGGAGGAAGCTGAGCCAGGTCAGCAGGACGGTGCACCCAAAAAAAGGAAGTACGCAGTCAGGCTAGAAGAAGGCTTTGATGTGGAGAGGATGGTGAATAGGCTCCTCGAAGGTCATAATGACCTTATGAACCTAAAGGACATTCTGGCGTCCGCCCCAAGACTCCGATATGGATTAAAGTGACGGTTGTCTCGAAGGTTAGTGCCCAACGTCCACCTGAGTGCGATCCTGCCAAGGGAGGTAGGATGGACGCAAGTTGGAACAAGGATGGACTGGAAGTGTGCGGCATGCGGTTTGGTGGATTTGGTGGTGAAAGAAAAAAAGTGTATTGCAATGATGGATACGGGCGCCGAGATGAACATCATCAGAGAAAGGGATGCTCTCATGCTCGGTCTAGAGACTGACCGTGCGGATCATGGCGTGCTGCATGGGGCTAACTGCAAGACAGTTTTTTGTGGCACGGCATCCAATGTAATTATAGAGATTGGCAAGGTGCAGGCGAGGACCTGTTTCTTCGTCATGCCGGACGTCGACCATTCTATCCTCCTGGGTAGATCGTTCATGTGCAGGACGGAGACCTTGATCTTCAATAAGCACGATGAAACGATGATATTACTCCTAAGTGATCTGGCCTGTGGGAACTACGAAGTTATCACCTGCCGGAACACGGGGCCAGAGAGTGAGCGGAATAGGCCTAATCCCGGCTCATTCACCTTTGTAGAGTCAGAGAATGAACGACGGAGGCTTTGGGAAGAACCTGAGGAGGAAGGTGGGGCGAAAGTGCTGTCACTAAGTCTTACAGATATAAACAAGGCTATGGAGATCGTGACGACACATGAGATGGCAGATCCAGAGGCGATCAAGGCATTGCGGGAGCAAGTCTTGGAAAACCCTCAGGTGGGGGAAGTGGAGTTGATCTATCGACTTCTCGGGGGAAGGAGAGACCCTGCGATGGCGCAGGCGCAAACAACAAGCCGACCTTTTTTAGGGGACGGCTTAAACCACCACTACCTCGCCTCCCGAAATTCACCCTTCCTGGCCTTACGGGCCGCATCTCCCGGTAGGTCGGCGCCCAGTAGGCCGTAGTGGGCAGAGCCCTGTTTTTTTTTTTTTTTTTGGGACTGCTATTACAGAGGCATAAAGGG